CTTGATTGTTTATATTGAGAGAGATATTTTTGCTTGTATTGAAAATGAAGCTATAATGCTTCATTTTCAAAATATGAAACCTCGTCGTGGACAATTATAGCTTGGAATATTGCTTCCGTTATGAATTATGAATGAAAGTAATATGACTTCATTTTCAATATGTTTTTCCATCCTAAATTTTTATTTGGACTTTTGCACTAAGACCCATTGTTGTAAAATTCCTGGCTTGGCCATTGGGTATGGGGGCATCTCAAAACAGAAAGTCGGTAACTCGGAACAATTAATTAGATTTACCCCTGGAATTTGGAAACTAGCTCAAAAAAATTATTCCACTATTAAGAAAGAAATTCTTGCCATTGTCCATGCTATTTCTAAATTCGAAAGTGATCTTTTGAATAAAAGATTTTAGATAAGAGTGGATTGCAAGGCTGCAAAAGACATTTTGGTTAAATATGTAAAAAATTTAGCAACAAAACAGATTTTTGCAAGATGGCAATGAATTCTTTTATCTTTCGATTTTGATATCGAATTTATTAAAGGTGAAACTAACGTACTCCCGGACTTCTTAACTCAGGAATTCTGGCAAGGTGCTAACCAAAAGCTTTGGACAGATGACTCCCAGTAAGAGTCCCTCAGTTCTTACTAAGTCATCCCCTCTTGATCCAAAGCCACTGATGTCTTCTTCTCCATATAATAAGGGTAAGGAGAAGCAGATTGCTGAAAATTTGTTTCGTGAATATATGAATATGTCTGTAGCAGTCATTGAAATGAATGATCTAGACAAACACCCGAATTTTCTAACTGAAAAATATTTAAGGGATAACCTTCCTCCCTTGAACAAGCCTCGTATTTTCTATGAAACTCTTCTGATTAAGACCAAATCTGTTAATATTGTCCATCGTCATAGGGGTGAAAATACCAACCCGATTGCATTCTCTAAAATCCAAATTCTAAATGGCATCTCCTCATACGAGTGGGGTCCTAGCCCTAAAATGGCTAGAAGATTTATCCATCCTGAAATTAGGCCATATTCTTATAATTTCTGGGATTATAAAAAAGCATGGGAATATGTCTTATGTTTTCAGAATCAGAATTATTCTCATTCTTGATTTATCCAGTTTAAGCTTTGAGCTCTGAAAGAACTCCTTAATTGGTTTAAGAGCTTTTTCCTTATCTGGGGTCCTACTTTTGGAATACCTTCCTCCTGAAATTAATGAATCTTTTCAAATGAAATTTTGTAAGTGGAATAAAAACTATCCTGATGAAAAGACCTTATTCATGTGGTTCATGATAATGTATGAACTACCCTGGATACTGAAATGGGAATATGTTATTTTGGAAGATGTTGATGAGGAATGGACTTATCCCTAATTTAGTTCGAAGTATCTTAATTTGATGATGGGATAAATTCACTAAAGATCACTTGGCCCCCACCAAGATCACCTTGAGGCTCATCCCATCTTTTGACCCTGTTGCTGCTCAACCTTTGGCCACTTCTTCTGCTAGTTTAAGTGTCTCCCAAAGCTTACAACTGTTGATAGACCAGCCAGGCTCAACTTCATCGAAAGAAGGCTTGACAAAGAAAGATCTCGAGATCCTTGATCTAGATGACGAATCCATGGCATCAGCATCTGCCGCTTAGCCAAAAGATGAGGTGGACCCGTTTGCTAACGAAGATATGCTAGACAATTGTCATCCAAATCTTTATGGTGGGCATCAATAATATTCTGTCTGATAAGAAGATAATTTGTACTTATTGTAATTTTACGTTACAACATTTTTCTGTTGCTTCAACTTTACTTTTCCTCCGATTAAAGAAAGATGCTCCTGCTTTAACCCTGCTTTCACTTTACTTTTGTAAAAGTTTGCTTTTTTCTTTTGGTTGTTTGCGTGAAAGTTCAGCAAGAATCATCAAAGTGAAGATGCCACTCTATTGTAGGTTGCTTTGTGACTTCATGTCTCTAATTGACACGTCGACAACCCCGAGGCTTTAAATTGAGGACTTCTCCTCAATTGCAAATGATCGAAAAATATCACATCAAAAATAAAAACTTCGTATTTTGAGTGTTTAAGTTTGAGTGCTTGAGTGTTTTATTTCCAAAGTATTGCTTCTACGAAGCTTTTGTTAAGCACTACTGCCCTTCTACTTCTATGTAAGTTTGCTAAATATTAATGATATCGTTTTTAATTTCGTTATACTCTTATCCTTGCTTTTGGCTTTGTATGTTTGAGTTTCTTATAATTATTTTGTTTATTGTCTACGTCTCCACACTACCTTCCGCACGAAAGCTTAAAATTGACTAAAATTTTGCTCTTAAGAGGCTGGGCTAGTACTTGGTATCAGAGCCGAAAGTCCCTAGAAGAGTTGTTAGTCTGAAGGTTCTAACTAAGTTTTATAGGTCTAATGCTCTGGTTTTTCTGTCAAGTTTCCTTTACTCACTAGTCATCGAGTTGTCTAGCTGTCGGATAGGCTCGTTAGCCGTTGCCAGAGAGGCGTGAGGCGTTGAGAGACCTAGGAAGGGACTAGCAACCTTGAATTAGGAGGAGAACAGAAGGAAAGCATAAAACCCAGAATATTAAAATGGCAAGCCTTAGGAGAATCTTGTCTACCCGTTCTTCTGGAGAAGCAAGCTCTAGTAGCTAGGGATGGCATCGGGTCGGGTAGGGCCGGGTATGACAATACCATCCCTATCCCCATTCTCCATCCTCGCCCCCGTCTCTGAACTCATCCCCGTTTAATAGGTTTCTGGAAATCCCTGTCCCCATCCCTGTCGGGGGATTATCCCCCGTACTCGCCCTAAATCCCCGATTTTATTTTATTTTTGCATAAAAAATATTTATAATACATTTTAACATTAAGTTTCATATTAAATTATCATTCAACACATCCAAATTAACTATAAAGTTCTAGTCAACTATTCAAAATCACATCAATATGAAATTCCAGAGAAAATTAGGAAGGATTAGGATAGGGAGGTTAACTTAGAGTTAAACATAAATATTAGAATTATTTATTTATTTAAATATAAATATATATATTTTTAGATTGGGTTCGGGGATGGGGACGCCAATACCATCCCCTCCCCATACCCGTCAGGGATTTTTTAAGTTCGGGGATCCCCGTACCCGATACCCATTTTGAAACGACCTGACTCAATTTTCACTTTGGAATCCGGGTCGAAACCTGTTTAAAACTGACACCTGGTAAACGTGGGTCGTAAATGACCAAAATGTCCTGAAAACAGTAACACAACTGAGGGACTCTGATTCGTGGCTGCACCTGATAACTGTAGGCTGCCTACGTACCCATTCTGAGGGATCAAGCCACACGTAATTCTTTCCTCTGTTCCGGACCTGTAACTGGTTAGGGCTGACATTTCTGGAGTATCCAGGACTCCATTTTACGATCTGTCAAATACTATACGATCCTGGGAAAGTCTAGATTAACATACTTTGAATTAACTACGATCCAATGGTTCAAACGTATTGAACCCGGAAATCGCACAGTAGGCGAGATCCGTTCGGGGTCCAAACGATATCCGAATTACGAT